GGACTACGTAGATTCCTAGACAATTTTATAAATCCTTTAGTAGAAGCAGTGGGAGGATATAAAGATTATGTACAGGGCTCGATTGACACATGCACACATAGGACTGTGAATTTGAAGTAAGGAAAAGAGTAATAATTAATTTATTATATATGTAATATATAAATTAATATGTTGTATATTTTAATGTATCTGTATATATATTATATATAATTGTATCATATTATATTGCTTATAAATTTCTATGAAGGAGCTGTGACTTAAGTGGACCTTGCAGTGAGGGAGAAGGTATTTTATCTCCATTAGATGAAGATTCATTTGCAGACACTGAACATACTGTCGCTGCATCTTCTATACCAACGATCAACGATACATCTAACGTAATGAAAAATAATGATATCGAAGGTAATTAACGTTATTCAATTCAACCGAATTTAATAAGTATAAGAAAATGATTTGATTCTATTGGATATATTACAGAGGTATTTACCATGGAGACGGAGGATAATTTATGGATTTTTTCAAACAATACTGCGCCGTATGATATCGACTTACATATAGAGCTCAATTTGAATACCTGCGATGATACAAATGATGATAAAAATAAAAATTCACCAGGTGATTCTGCGAAATCATCAACGATTCCAATACCTGAACAATCAAATACTAATGGAGTTAAATTAGTAACTGAGTTTAACAGTATTGGTTGTAACGTTGGAAGTAAAACTTCCAGTGAAGATTTCACTTATGTTAACGCATATGCCATGAATTCAGATAATAATCTGTCAGAAAATATGTGCAATATAGATACTAAGGAAGATAGTCCTGCAGTGCTTTCCGTGGATTTTGATAATAAAAGCGACGTGATCAAGTCTGATGAAAATGTACATCAATTAGATCATATTTACCGAAAATCTGTTCTAAGTGAATGCACAATTTCTGAGATGAGCGCAGAATCGGTTATATGGTTATCTCATAGACTCGGCCCAGTACTTACAGCGCGATACTTGTCGCGAAATCTTCTGAGAATGCTGACGTTATGTTACGCTGGGAAAGAAAATTTAACACCAATTGATGACAATAATTTCATGCATCTGAAGGGCGTTACATGGAAGAAGCCGATATTAGCTGGTGATCAAAATGCTGTTAAAGTTTTAGAGTGCCTCACATCTATTGCAGGTACGTACAAAAAAATATATAGTGAGTTTTTAATTTTTAATAAGTAAAATGACAGTTTATCAACTATTTTATCAGGATTATATGGCGAACAAATTATATTGCTGCAATACTTTGCACATATAGTGGAGCTATTAGCATTGTGTAAGAGAAAATTAACGCAGAATTTGGAAGGAGGCCTAATTTCTTGTCTGGCTCTATTAAATCACATTACAGCGTATCTTAGCGATTCTACGGTGATGGATGTGCTTCATGTAATGTTTATCATATAATTAATTATTATATATTAATTATTACACGTTAATATGATGAAAAAAATTTTAAATAGCTCAACTTTATTCATATTTAAATGTAGGAGCCGATTGTTAAATCCATATTGCATCCCACAGTACGCATATTATCAACCGCGAGATTTACATTTCCAAATGGAACGCTTGCGCGCATTGCTTTAGCTGAAAAATGTTTGGAAGCAATGTTCATTCTTAGCTTACGGCTTGGCAATGTGATCACAAAAAATCATTTAGCAATACCAATTCAACGCTTCTTTCTGGCTTTTGACAAAGCTTTCAGTGAAAATTTAGATGGTGGAGTTACATCAAATAATTTTGGACAAAAAGCAGATACGACCTACGAACATTTCGTACGGTAATACGCAGATGAACATTGCGGTTTAATTACACATTGTTAAGAGGAGACAGAAAGTTTATATGATCAAATTGAATTACAATTTGTGAATTTATTTTAGGAATAAACGAATACAATTCTTTAGATATTATTTATCTTTGAGAAAATTAATTTATGTACAATATAAAAATTATTTTAAAAATAGAAATTTTCTGTGTTTTGAAGATAGAAAATTTCAAGTGCCTCGCATTTTGCATGATTCCAAGGAAACAATCTACTATTTTCTGTCTATTTTTTTCAGGTCACATTTTGTTCTACAGATTAACTAAAATAGACCATTAAAAGAATGAAAAAAAATAAAATTATTATAAAATAACATAAACAGAAAATTCCTACATTTTTAAATAAATTTTGTTATTATAAATTAATTTTCCTAAATATATGAAGCAACGTTAAAATCTAAACGTAGAATTATGTCTGTGTATTCCGTGTTTTCTAAAATACATTAATAAATTTTATTTTCTATTTAATTATATAAATCTATTAACTCCTCCTGCTTTTCTTAATGATAAAACTTAATGATAAAAGTAACGACATACTAAGATATTCATTTTTTATTATTTCATAGAATGAAAATGACAAACGAAGAATCTGTTAATAATGGAACTTATGCGTGGAACAAACTTGATACAGATATTACAGATTCGTATTCTCCTCCAATCGTAGAAAATAGCGACGTGCTAGACTTGCAAAGAAATAGAGTAAGATCAAAGTTTACGACTCATGTTTCTTTTTTAGATATTACGAATGCAAATGTATATATATTAAACTTTTTATGTACAGGCATTTGAAGAATTACGAGCTGTGTTTACTACTGCGTTCGCTCACAAAGCTTACATGCTTTTTTATAGATGTATTCATACTGAAATGATGGAACATATACTTAAAAATCATGAGCATATACAACAGCTTTGTCATGATTATGAGCAAGAAATAAAAGCAACTTCTGTAAATAATGGTAAATATCCTATAAGATATTTCTCAATTATTATCACGATTAATAATATGTTCATTCTTGTATTTCATTTTTATTTTTGAAGATAATGCGGATAAATACAATACTTCCGTGGATTGTGATGATACGGAAAATGTAGAATCAGTTGACAAAAGTGCTTGCAGCTTCGGGAATATATCTGTGATAGGAAACAGATTCGAAATACAGAAAGATGATGCGAGATCTCAAGTGTTGCCAGAGACGAGTATTGTCGCCAGTCGCGAAACAACTTGTCCATTATCCGCTGGTAGACAACTACGTGGTAATTGGTTAGCTTATTGGGAGCACGAGATAGGAAGACCGGAGAAAGATACAATATTTAATATAAAACAGATAAAACTTCAGACTTTCAATGGACATACAAACAGTGTGAGATGTCTTTATGTATTAGACAATGAGAACAGTTTTATGAGTGGTAGCAGAGACAAAACTGTGAAACTGTGGAGTTTACGAAGCCAGGTAAAATATATTCTGTTCAATTTAATGAAAAAAAATTGTTTATATAATATCTAGAATTATGATTTTACTGTTGTAATAAAATCAGGGTGATGGAACTACAATTTCATCGTGTCAATATACATATACTGGACACAAAAAGTCTATTCTTTCACTTACATTCTTGGAATCTTTGAGATATGCAGTGACATGCGATAGTATGATTCATTGTTGGGATCCTTACATGGGTTCGCTTCTGGGATGTCCAGAAAGCAGCCGTCCAGTTCCTGTGAATATTTTAGCCTCGAGTCCTTCCCCTTCTACAACTCTTCTTGTGGGAACAACCGATATTACTCTTAGAGTTATTGATTGTAGAACATTCCAGTATGTTAATGAAATGAAAGTAAGCATAAAATATATATATTAATATCCTAAAATTCTAATTCATGATACACAAAGTTTAACATTAAATCATTCGATAGATTTCTATGAATCCAACGGGTTTAATAAGATGTATCGCTATATCGCCTAGTACTAACTGGGTTGCTTTAGGTCAAGCATCAGGCTTCTTGACGATATTAGATACTCGTACCGGTCTAATTATCGCATCTTGGAAGGGACATGAATGCGAGGTAAAAACTTAGAAGTCTTTTATCTTTAAAAGTCTCATAAAAAGCTATTTTCGAAAAACTTTTTGAAAAACCTATGTAATAGATTTTCATAAGCTTTTGTAAGTTTATTTGTAAATATATTAAACTGTTTTCAAGAAAAATTTAATAGATATATTCATTAATTTCAAAGTTTTTAGCGTTTAAACAAAAGATTACAAAGAACATGATATGTATATCTCCAGATAATCTAAAACAGTAATGTGCAATTTTTTTTATACTGGATTATTTTTAGATATAGTGTGCTTTTCAGCAAGCGACACGTGTAATACGCTGATCATAAGAGATTTAATTATATAAAGAATTATATAAAGAAATTGGTTTTTTATGATAACTTGATTTACTAAAAAACCACCTTAAATGTTTACTAAAGATAGTATATATGTATAATAAAACACTTACACAAATCTATGAAAATTTATCGCATAGGTTTAAAAAAATTTCTTTAATATAAGAATTTGTTTGATTTATTGATTTCTAATATTATAGATATTACAATTAGAAGCGATAAATGAAACTACTATAGTTAGTTCTTCTTTGGATCAAACTATAGCTGTGTGGAGTGCAATAGATGGAAAACTTAAATTTCACATGAAGTAAGAAAACTTGTAATATTATTATGTAAAATGAAATAGATAAAACATAATTTACATAAATTATTTTTTATCGATTTTCAGAGGTGCAACAGAACCTGTTCATTGCATGGCAATGCACGAACAAGCATTGGTAATAGGAACAACAGCAAATCGAATTGGTGTTTATACTGCTGTAGAAACGACTGCTTCATTAAGCTCATCCAAGTTAAGATCTGATGCTTTTAAAGGCATTCTTACTGCCTTGGCGGTCCTGCCTCTCAATCGATTACTATTATTAGGTGCTGACAATGGTGGAATAACACTACTATGTTAGAGAGTTATTTACAGAACATGTGCGCGCTCGCACGCGTGTGTGGACATTACTATATACAATAGTAAGGAATAGAAAAGTATACCTAATTTAACAGAAAGCGTGGAAAATCTATTACAATAAATTTCATTTGTACAAGATACATTCAAGAGAAAGATTTTCTATATGTGGATGATGTCTGTTCTCGTCCCTATTACTTTTAGAGCCAATTTGGCGGACATTTTGTACACACCAACATCCGCTAAAATCTCTGCTGATACATTTTTATCATCATTATTTAATGCTTCTTCAAGCAATATTGCTGAACCCATTAGGATATTTAAAAGTATACATGCTTCTTTAATTCTAGAACATTAAAATAGCTGAATTATTATATCTGTTTTAACAAATAATTTTAATAATTTTAGAAACTTACAAAGGGAAATATGATTCTGGTTTGTTAATATACAAACCAAATAATGGAAACAGATTCCTCAAAATATCATACTGTAATTGTTCGGCACCACCATTATTGAAATGATTTACGAGTACAACTTCTTCAAAAAGAAACTGTAAAAGAAATATTTGAAATAAGATGAAAATTATTATATAAAAATTATTATGTAAAAAGTAATCTATTTTCTTTTATTTTTATCATGTATACTTGATCAAATTGAGCAGCTAAATTCTTCCAAGCTTGATTAAACAACGGCAAGGCAAGAACATTGTGCAATATATGAAGACGTGTTGCTAGTTCTTGGAACATAGGACAACCACTTGGCGTCATTGATAATGAAGCAACTTCTTTTGAAGACTGCATCGCAAACCATCTTAGAATAATAAAAAGTACT